CAAAGAAGGCCCAAGACGATTGAACAGTTAGAGGCCTGTATTAGACATGAATGGGAGAGCATTCCTATTTCTAAACTTGAGAAACTGGTCTCCTCTGTCCCCAGACGTCTGTTGAGTGTTGTAAGAAGAAGGGGGGATGCCACACAGTGGTAAAAATGAACTTGACACAACTTTTTGGGAATTTGTTGATGCGATTTGTGTTCAATTCTGAATAAAATATTAGATGTTGGCACCTCCACATCATTGCATTCAGTTTTTATTCACAATTTGTTTAGTGTCCCAACTTTTTTGGAATCCAGTTTGTACAAATTTTAAAGAAAAGTGCAGATATTATACCACTGTTAAGATATTTGATGAATATTTGCTTGAAATAAAGAAGCAGTAATAAAAGGTGTTTTTTTTTTCTTTTTCCTCAACAACAGGCAGAAAGAAAAGTTATGTTGTCTAACTTAGTTCATTTTATGTATCTGTCACAAACAACCCAATATATTTGTATACTAAAGAATAGTGAGTAAAAAGGCACCTCTGAAAGGAGATGTAATCTTATGTTTAGCCTTTTGTCAGTCTTAAAGCAGAACTTGCCACAGCGGGTATAAACATGATGATTGAGTCAGAGAGGTTTAAAGCATGAATAAATCAGGGTGCCTGCCAACTCTGAGCGGTGGTGTTGTTATTGCTGTTATGACTCAAAATTAAAGACAATCAGCATTGGGATGCTTCATTTCTAATTGGCATGCCAGCGATAAAAAGAAAGGGAAGCCCAAAACGAACATTGCTGACATTAAACCTAACTGCTCTCCTTATGTCTTCACATTCACTTTACAAAACAAAAGAGAGAATAAAGCAAACTGAGAATCAGGAAGAAAAAACAGTAACAGTCGAGTGACAGTTTTCTTTGGTAAATATGTTGAACTTTTTTAAATACAAGTGTTTTTTCTTCATTCCATTAACAAACATGTTTGATGTCTGTTACCAGGACCACCACCACGCATCTCACAACCCAACACACAAGCACCTAGATTTAAGAAAGCGAGACAGACAACAACTTGCTTTCTAAAAATACATATTTATAGGACCTCATTTAGTTCATCTAATTTTAGGTGTGAAAATAGTTACTGAAATGAGCAAACACATATTTAGGTTTACAGCCACACAGCACTTCTTCACCGCTAAAATCCGTTGACAAAACTTGATCTAAAACTAAAGGTCAACCTCTTAATGAGGCCTCCAGCTCACCCGGGTTCACTCACTGCAGCTTGCTGTAAATTTGAGCAGGAGCTCGCTTTAGGCATGTATTGCTCGTGCATGCACTTTTCAACAAACCCTCATGGCTTCACTCTCCAGCATTCAAGCCTGTCTAGTAAGGCCCATTATGTGTGGTTGCCCCTTTGCTCTAGCCTGGTCAGAGGCCAGCCCCTCTGATCCCCAATCCTGTCCTGTCATGGGTCACTGGACGGGGCTCTGGCCCCTGGGCTCTCCGGCTACACTTCCACTGTTGCTACCTCTAACTCCTCTTCTCTTCTGCTTCCCCCTCTGATGCCTTTGGGCTGAGTCTAGAGGTCAGAGGATTGGGGATGAGGGGTCATCCTAGCGTCACCCAGGCTAGAGACACATTGAATCTGGGTGTTGTAACCCATTATCGCCTCTTTTTTTTTTACCACTGGCATAAGAAAACACTGGGGCTTTTAGGCCGCTGGCAGGGACAGAGGTTTGTTATCAATGGTCCCTACGTTGAAGCTAAATGGTGTACTTAGCATACATAATTGATACATCTCATCTCAAATTCTTTTATTGCTTAGAACAAGAATGAGTGTATCCAAGTGGATAAAGTCGACAGACTTTCATTTCAAAGATTCAAAAAACTTCCAGCTGAACGAGGAAACAAACTGATGTGGTCCAGATTTGCTCTTTGTTTTGATCTGAAGCTGAGCTCCCACAGTTTGATCCACATTGACAGGTCTAGACTGAGAGAGCAAACGAGGGCTGTTGTTGGGCTTTCGCAATCAAGCATTGGCCAGCTCCACAGTAACGCAATCCATATGTTTTATCTGAGGAACGTGGATGAGGGGTTGGGGTGTGGGGGGGTGGTAAATGCAATCAAGCGTCAAAGCCCTCGACACCACTGCTGTTCCCCCGTCCAGTGACCCGGTGCCAGGAGAGCAAGCAAAAGCCAGCTCTGACAGCGAATGTCTAACTGTAGTTGTAAATGTTTTAAGAGAGCAGTTAAAAGTGTGCACCGGGGGAGTTTGAAGGCCCTCAGTATGAGAATGACCTGAGCTGCGGCAGGGTAGATCCAAAAGATCAGCAACGTTCGGGGGCCCAAAGGGAAAGAATTCAAGTCCATGTTATAGTTGGCTGAATCTGAGACAGACGGTTGAGACAGATGAGGATTAGTCTGAAGCTTTGATCAGAAGACCAGGGAGCCTTCATAGAATAGGGACAATTATTTGTAGTGACTGAACATTCCTCTTTGGAAAACTTTTTTTGCGCTTTGTTAAGATGCTGAACGGGGATTTATTATGCTGTATTTCTAAGCACTTTATATGTTTTTATTTGTTATTTATTTCTATTTAATTTGAAATTAAATATTGTGTATTTAAATTAAAATGCAGAGGGGATTGGGCTTTTGCTGTGGCAGCCCCCAGACTCTGGAACAATCTGCCCACTGATATTCTGCAGAGTCCATACAATCGGGCCTAAAAACTCACTATTTTGCTCTGGCTTTTAACTCGTTTGGTTTGAGTTCCATCCGAGGTTCTTATTTTATTGTTTTAGTTTGTTCTTAGCCTATTTTATTACACATGTGTTTTAATGTTGGACCTTTCATTTATTTTATTGCTGACTTCTTGTTTGTGAAGCACTTTGGTCAACAGTGTTGTTTTTAAATGTGCTATGTAAATAGTAGAATATCAAATCTCTCCAGTTTTAGCTTCTCTCTATTGGCTCCCTGTCAAATTCAGAATTTAATTCAAAATCTTACTTCTAACCTACAAAGCCCTCAACAACCTAGCTCCATCCTATTTTTGAGATCTTATTGTTTCTTATTTTCCTAACAGAGCACTTCGCTCTCAGACTGCAGGCTTACTCACAGTTCCTAGAGTTTCCAAAAGCAGAATGGGAGGAAGATCTTTCAGTTATCAGGCTCCTCTCTTGTGGAACCAACTTCCAATTTCTGTCTGTAAGGCTGACACATTGTCCAGTTTGAAGACTGGACTTAACACTTTCCTTTTTGATAAATCCTATAGTTAGGGTTGGCTTGTTATGCTTTCTTAAGCTTAGACTACTAGAGGACAAATTGACCTCATTTCTTAAAATGAATTGTTAAAATTGAATAGTTTTCATTCGATATTATTTCTATCTTAACATGTGATTCTTGACCTGCCATTGTGTATCTGTTCCTCTCAAACCCAGCCGGTTGAAGCAGATGGCCACTTGTCCTGAGCCTGGTTCTGCTAAAGGTTTCTTTCTCATGAGGGAGTTTTTCCTTTCCACTGTCACCTTCATGCTTGCTCAAGATGAGAGTTCTGTGATGGAGTTAAACTCAAAGCAGTCTGCTCCTCAGATAAATAGTGTTAAATTATTATTTTTATATATGAATGTTTCTGTTCAGTGCCCTGAGATGACTTCTGTTTTGACTTAGTGCTGTATAAATAAACTGAATTAAATTGAAATTGACATATCTATATGGGAGTTCATGGTTAGTTGTGGACTGCACCTTAACATCAGATGTGTCTCTCTGGCAGTTCCTCCAGGCTCTGGACAGTGAGGAGAAGGTGCGGTCAGCATGGTCAAACTTCCCTCCTTGGAAGTTGAGGAATAAAGTTGTAAAAGGTTCCTGAAATATTAAAATAAAATAAAATGTTAAACAATAATATATATATTATTTATATATGTGTGTGTGTACAGTAGTCCGTCGCTACTTCACGGTTCGTTTTTCGCGGACTCGCTCTATCGCGGTTTGTTTTAAGTACAGTACTGTACGTAAAATTTTCCAAAAACAAAGATAAAAATTAATTTAAGAAATATGCTGCCATTTTGTAGTTTTTTCATTAAGCCTTTACCGTTTTGCCTGTCTGAAGAACTACATTACCCAGAAGTCATCAGTTCACTTTCTAGAAGTCAACACTGCTTCCAACCACTGCTTGTTGCAAGAAGAGGGAAAGTTTTGCAACCAAAGTCAGAAGTTCTGGAAGGATAATCTCACAGGACTGGCAGGAAAGTCACAAATAATTCTGAAGCTGAACTCATCCTTCAAGTTGCATCTTCACTGCTGAGTAGCTGGGCTGCAGCTGATCTGGACTCAGTGTCACCCGGATCCTGGGAGCTGCAGGGAACAGACGGCTGCAGGCTTCAGCCTGGTTCTGGCTGTGCAGTGCTGGTCTGGACCAGGCCAGAGGTGGTGGATTAAATCCTGGGCAGCCTTGCTCCTGGAGCGGCAGCGATGGACTTCAGTCATGCTGTAACGGGACTTTTTTTAATCTATTGGGTCGGGTCGGATGGAACCGAGCCGCTCCTGTTTTGCAGAGCACTTATAAGTAAAATTTAGCCGTTTCTGTACATATAAAGTACTGTATGTTCTTAAAATTTGTAGGTTTAAGAGTTTAGATGACTGATTGTGAGCTTCATTGGTGCAGGATAGTTCTGCAGAAATTAAAGAGTGGGAATGAAACATAGTTGGACCGGAACCACAGCCGTTGCTGTTCTGCAGAGCTAGTATGTAAAATTTAGTAACATATGTTGTTAAAATGACATAGGTTTAAGAGTTTAGAAGATTACAAGAGTGCGGGAAGGGTTTCTAAAGCCTTGATATAAAGTTTACTGTACTTGAACTTAAATTCAAACTTGGACTACTGTATCCGTACTTCACGGTTTTTCACTTATCACGGGGCTTCAGGGTGCGGATCCACCGCGATAAACGAGGGACTACTGTATATATGTGTGTGTGTATATATATATATATATATATATATATATATATATATATATATATATATATATGAGAAACAATGTGTCCAGTATAAACAGATAGTAATACCAGGTTAAACAGAGAATAATTGTCTTTTCACATGGCAGCTAAACTGGAGTCAAACAATGAACAAGTGAAATAATAATCCCAGCGGACCACTGAAGTCAATAACATTTGGGCTCTTTATGTTTTTCTAATCAGGTATAACCCCGTTAGGACAGATCAATATCTGTCTCTCTGATGCAATCGCTTCCATTGACATGGCAGAATATGCTGCTATACAGCTTTACACTAACACAGCAGATAGCTGAGTGAGTTTAGCCTGAAAACACACAAACCTCTTGGCATTAACAACACCCTATCATTATGCAATAAAAATATTAAAGCAAGCTTATGCCTATAATTTGTGAGAAAATGCATATCTAAAAACAAAACTCAATTGCTAATGTAATTTCTATTGAAACCTCTGATTTTTGAGTGAGCATTATGAGTGTTACTGGTAAAGAGGCTTTAGAATAAGCTGGCTAATGATGTGCTGGGATCAATGAGGTAATTCTACTGGGAGTAGTTGAGACAGTGAGCTACTGGGACAACAACAACAAAAAAACCTGCATGCTGGAGAAACTTAGTAACCTCCCTCTCCCATGAGTGCAGTATAGAGATTTAGATGGTGTCCATTTATCAAAAGTACTAAAGGAGAGCATTTTATTGCAGAATGTACTCTGTGTAAGTTCTTAACGAAATTAAAGAACATCTCAAAACCAAATATGCATTAAAGAAAGACCAAGTGTACTTGAGGTGAGGGTTAGGCATTTAACTGCATTATGAGTGAACACTTGATTTAGAATAGGCCTGTCGTGATAAACAATAAACCAATTAATCACATGATAAATGAAAATGAGCAACCTCATTTTTATTTATCGGCTTTATCGTTTCTTCATGCGTCTCTCTTTCTACAGAAGACACTGAATAACAAGGCACAACTCCGGTGTTCTTCACTGACCCCTCCCCCTTTCTCTTTTCTCTTTAAAATCTGTTTTAACTGTCCAAAATCGCGTTTTGGATCATTAAAGCACAGACATAAATAATGTCTATGGTTAAAAGCAGCTAAGCTGAAAAGCTAAGCTACGAGCTAAGCTAACAGGCCAACGTCGGGGGAAAAAACCTCCGTCTTGTCAAAGCGCCAAAATTCACAGTTGAAACCCGTGCCTTTGCCTAAAAAGTTGTTTTTCTCTACAAAAAGAAGCTGTGAACTTGTTTACTGTTTTTTTAATTAAAATCTTTGTGTGAAAAATGCTATGCTAAAGAGCTCAAACCACACAGAGTGTCCGTCATTTTGAGAACCAAATAAAGGAAGGAGAGACAGCCCATGTCACGTCAAGAGGCCTCCCTCCCATTTTTCTTAAAGAGACACGCTGCTCGCTTCCTCACTATCCATCCTTTGGTTCAAACACTCATATTGCCTTCCAGTAGTCAAAAAAGGTACTACACTCAAAACAACTAACCAAAAGTTCTTCTTTAATTTGACAATAATTACTAATTATTGTAAAATTTCAATCAATATTATTGCTTATCGCAATAATTTCTGAGACAATCGCCCAGCAAAATTTGTTATCGTGACAGGCCTAATTTAGAAGAAACCATTTGACCTCATTCAATACGTAAAAAAACCCAACATCCATTCATTCTTTCTCTATAGCCATCTATACCTACATCTATCGACAATGACAGATCAATAATTGATAAAAAAAATAACTCAGAAAACTAAACATAGGGTTTTTCATCGGATATTTTGAACATAAAATTAAAATTCCATTGTTTGCACCATATTTATGATTATACATATACAAATTGAGTTTGGGGAGGATTATTTGCTATTAGAAATTAAGACACACAGCGCTATGATTAATTCAAAGTGTTTTATACAAATGTTGCAACTTACAATGCGAAGCAGCCACATCAAGGTGAAACTGGAGGTGGAGTAGTGGGTGCCATAGTGGAACTTGGGCACCTGCTCGTCCTCCCAGGACTCATATCGGTCTGAGAAGAATGCTGCCCTCTTGGGGTTCAGCGCACCAATGGGCTGCAAAAAAAATAAAAATAAAAATACAGGAAACACATTTTTCCAAATGAGTGAACAATAACAAAACAAAACATCTTTATCTGTTAACTGTGTTGCATGGAAGTCGAACTAAAACCTGAGAGAGAAAGCAAAGGGAGCACATGGGCTAAATTTTTATTGTGAATAAATATGGGGACCACTCCTCGCTGCACTTCAGTTGCACTGGAAATGAAGCTGGCAAGCATTGTGCAATTCCAAATGAATATTAGATGATGTTTCCCTTTAGAAGGAGATCAATCCTTCCCCTCAGAGTGCTTTTTAGAGGCTGTGAAACGGAGCCCCTGCAGCTGTAGTCTGTCAGAGAAAACTAATGTCCTCCAATGAAAGAGTGTCTGCGAGGAATAGCAACAGCAAAGCCGAGGGCGACTTTAACTTCTGCTTTTATTATTCTGGAACTAATACACTGGTCTAACTATTTATAGCGTCAGAAAAAAAATGTTTAAGCTGCATTAATTTTCCATTGATCTTCAAAGAAACCAATAACCCTGAGCTTGGCTATTATTTAAACACTCATTTATAGAAATGACTTTCAAGCTGGCTCAATTTTTATTAGACGTCTGCTGAATGGGCCTCATACCCTGAACACCCCAGCCACACAACATCTCTTCTTAACACACACACACGTGCACACACAAAACAGATCAATGGTAATGGAATGATGGGTTTTTGAGGATGAGGGCCTTGCAGGGTGTGGATCAATCGGATATCTTTCATATCACAGTGAGGCTCGTCCAGGGCAGGTCTTATATATTGATCAGTGCTACTGCTACTGATGTGTGTGTGTGTAATAACGCATAGGTTTCTGTATGTATAATTGAAGTATTGGCAAAATATCTTAAATGGTGCAGTAGTGTTTTATATTGTATGTGTGCATATTTGTTGTTATTTTCTAAATGGTACTTCTAAGTGTGTGTGAACACGTATCATGCCGCCACATTTTGCAGCTTTGTTGACAGTGATACACTATGGGCTTCCTCAGGGCCACTGGGGTGGTTGAGTACACATGGTGAATTATACATCACACCCATTGGTCTGATTTATTGCCCTAATAACAGTCGGCTCATTAAAAAAAGAAAAGGGAGAGGAGGCATATAAAATAAAAAAAAGACTGGAAGTGCCACAGTGACAGAAAGAAGGAGAAATGTGTGCGAGTGCATGAGGGGGGTTGTTGGTTTGCTCGATCCCGACATTGTTTACTGCTGTAAATTACTGCTGGGCTTGCGATCTTGGCTTACAGTAGCTACAACGCAGCGGCTCTGACGGCACCGTACATCACAGCGGTGCGCTGATGAAACGCCCGCTGCCGCCTCACTACAGATTGGCCTAATATGTTGTGGCACCGAATGGGGCTTTGATGAGCGTGCAGACAAATGACCCAATATTGTAGTTTTAATTAGACCAAAGAGAAAGCCACGGAATGAAAGTCTACTAGTGCTTAGCAAACATCAGAAAATTAATACTGGGTGAGTTTTAATCAGTTCCTTGACAAGGGAGATGGAGAAAGCTGCTCCCAGAGAAAATTAACAGAAAATAGTTGCACTAAACCATGCAAGAAAACCATATGTACAGTAATTAGAAAAATGTTTAAAAATGTACTGCTATTGTAAATTTTAAACTGCCAAACATCTTTAGCCAAGACAAAAACATCTGTTAAGAATAATAAAGACATTTTTTGAAAATTACAAGTTTACTTTCACTTAAGTGTGCGTTATAATCCATCAGTGTACAAAAAAAAAAAAAAAAAACACTAGAGAAATTGCATTTCCTGTGAAAATGCAGTGTGAATGCTTATTGTTATAGAACTTGCTAAAAAAAAAAAAACAGCTGAGATTGGCCAAAACGTGCTGAAATGGAAGAATAAGTCTAAATTAGCAGAAGTAAGCAGAAATAACATATTTCCTGAATTAGATTTAAAAAAGGGTTGTGACCGAAAGAATGAGATCTCGGATACAAGTGGCCAAAATGAGTTTTCTCCGCAGGGTGTCTGGGCTCTCCCTTAGAGACAGGGTGAGAAGCTTGATCATCCGGGAGGGACTCGGAGTAGAGCCGCTGCTTCTCCACGTCGAGAGGAGCCAGTTGAGGTGGCTTGGGCATCTGTTTAGGATGCCTTCTGGACGCCTCCCTGGTGAGGTGTTCCGGACACGTCCCACCGGAAGGAGGCCCAGAGGAAGACCCAGGACACGCTGGAGGGACTATGTTTCTCGGCTGGCCTGGGAACGCCTCGGGATTCCCCCGGAAGAGCTGGCCCAAGTGGCTGGGGAGAGGGAAGTCTGGGCCTCCCTACTTAGGCTGCTACCCCCGCGACCAGACCCCGGATAAGCGGAAGAAAATGGATGGATGGATTTAAAAAAGCAGAAATGAGAACAAAAATTGGGAAATTAGCTGAAATTAGAAAAAAAAAAAAGGCTGAAAAGTAACTGAAAAGGCATAAAAAAAGCTTAAACTACCAGAAGGAAGTGGAAGGAGTTGAAAAGAGCTCAAAAATGTGAAATTAGATGAAAAGGCTAAATTTAGCACAAAAACAGCTAAAAAGTAGCTGAAATAGCAACAAAAAAAAAATTGAAACTAGAAGAAATAAACTGAAAGGAGCATAACAAACTGAAATTAACAAAGATTTAATTAGGCTGAAAGTAGCAGAAATTACAACAACAAACTTGAATTTATCGGAAAACAGCTGAAATTAGCTAAAAATGCTAAAAAGGTAGCTGAAATGTAGAACAAACTGAAATTAGCAGAAGAAACATGCTTGCCCAGTCAGGCTGAAAGAAGCAGAAATTAGCACAAAAAAGGGGAAATTATATGAAAAATAGAAATTAGCAAAAAAAATAAAAATAAAAATAAAAATTTAAACCAGCTGAAAAGTACCGGTAGCTAAAAAGGCAGAAAGATGCTTAAATTACCAGAAGGAAGTCGAGAGAGCACAATTTTTGCTGACTTAAGCAGAAAAAAGTTTAGATGAATGGAAAAAAATTTGGAATTGGCCCAAAAAAAAAAAAAAAAAGCTTAAATTGCAATTAAAAAATATGCTAAGTACTAGCTGAAAAAGTAGAACAAAAATTACTTGCATAAATAAGCTGAAAGGAGCATAACTAGCTGAAATTAGCAGAAATAAATTAGAAGAATCAAAAAATGTTCTAGTTAGCAAAAAGAATCTGAAAGGAGCACAGAACAGTTGGAAAAAACTGCTGAAAGTAGCTGAAAAAAGTTAAAATTTGCACAAGGAAGTAGAATGAAGCTGAACCAGAACTAAATGTGAAAGGAGCAGTAAAAGGTTTTAAACAGATCTAAAGATTTGAAGGAGGTAAAATGAGCTCAGTTCATTTTCTATGAGGGAAAAAATGGCAGAAAAGGCTAAACATTTCAAAAAGCTAAAGTTGCACTAATACCAAAAGTCATGGCACCTTTCTCTTGAACGAGCCGAATGTTTTGAAAAATCATGGAATGAGAAAATGCTGAAAAACGTACAGAATAAAAATGGATCACAAATGTGAACGCTTTACAAACATTCACACAATAAACCTGAGATTGTATCCACTGCTGCCTCTACATCCATTTGCATGGCCTTTATTTATATGTGTCCAAGTTCCAATCAGAAATATCTTAAAAAAAAACTCGCCCATCATTTGTGCATCCTTTGGATTTTAGGTCATAAATCACACGAGCCTTTGGAACAGATTGTTGATGTCTAATGTCCTATTTAAAGAATGAAAACGGTGCGGAGGACCTGGGGGACAACACATGGGGCACGTACAGCCAGATCAATACACTATTAGACGATCTGGCTGTGAGAAGCAGATTATAGCACAAAAGGTACAGAAAACACTCAATAAATCTCCACTTGAACTGTTTGTGTGTAAATGTGAACTACATAGAAGATACAAATCATTTAATTGTTTGTTGGGCTTTGTTAAAAGCTACGCAACAAGGATAATCCTCTTAAGATGAGATTGTGCCGTTTCTTGTAGAGTTCCTCAGCTCTGAAATTAAACGGCTCTGTAGCCTTCGTGCAATCAAATGTTTTTTTATGAGCAGATGTACGGAAGTTAGCACAATCATTGTATACAAAGAGGGAGCGGGATTAAAAAACAAGAGTAACATGCAGGCAGTAGGAGTGCTTATCGTGACTACAATGTTATCTCTGTGGTTGGCGTTTGATGTCACGTTGAGGGTAAAGTTTATGATAAGACAGTCCCTGGGGTCAAAACAGCTCTGGTAGCAAGGATATAAATTCTGTGTGGCCTCCGCTGAGCTGGCAATGATGACAGTGTGCAGAATGCGCACACATTCATGGCAGTTCGGCTTTTCAATGTCACTGGAGGCTTCACACATGACCTGTTTCTACGAGAGACAACCACCGACATGACAAGCTGTATGAGGGTGGGGGGTGAAAGACGGAGGGTAAAGATGGCGGCAAGAGACAGAGAACTGCAACAGTAAGAAGAAACAAAGAAGAAACAAAGCGCCATGGAAAGAAAACCAAGCAAGGTGGTGGGTGGTACGCAAAAAGAATCTAAAGGACGCAACGTTTTCCACGTGGTGTAGACATGTTGGTGCAGAGCAGCACAGTGGTGGGGGTATGACTTGGGAAGCTGCAGAGCGTAGTTTGCCTCTTTTCCACAGACACTGCAGTCTGCCACGGTCCAGTAATCATACACTGACACCACACACGTGTCAACACTGTGAATAAAACAGACGTAATAAAGATTGGCTCAGCTCTCCTGCTCTTAAAAAAGAAAATAAAAGAAGTGACAGGGCGGCAAATGATGATGTTCGTCTCTCACACTCTCTCCTCCTCGGTTTTATTTATTTATTTTTTGGTGCATTTTGATTGTTTCTGCATTTCTCCTCCTTTGACCCAAACCCCCATTCAGTCACAAAGTCCCCGGGGCTGAGACGCAACTGAGTTCAGAGGCTGAGCCGTCCAGACTCGATGGCAGAGCCAAGGAGAAGAGCAGGAAGCTGAAGGGAGCTAAGAAGCCAGAGGACGGCTGCATGTTCACGAGACTGTTGGTGGGCAACATTTCTGCCTACTAGGCAACATCAAGGCAGATAAACAGAGACATCATGCAGCTCTTTGTGGTGGGTAGAAGATACAAAACACAGTGAAGCTCATCAAAGGAGAACCAGACACAGGAGGACGAGGTGTTCACTGCTACGTGTGCATGACAAGACCATGAGGGGAAAACAAATCAAAGCTGGAGAAGATGTTTTACTTGTGCTTGATATGCTAACTGTGCATTTTACAGTACTCTTCAGAAAATACTTTAAAGGGTTTTATTATTTTTTTTTTTTACATTCCCTGTTCCCAGTTCATCTTATTATGAGCAAAACTGCAGCTGAAATAAAATTGTTTTCTTTCTGTCAGGAATTATTGTTTTTGCTAAAGCAAATTACAAATAATAATAAAAAATACATTTTATTTGTATAGTGCGTTTGTAAATACTTAAAGACACTTTATGAGTGAAAAATAAAAATAAAAAACAATGCATAACGCATAAACACTATAAAACATTGAAAAAGGGCAATTTTAAGCATTAAAAGCAAATTTAAACAGGTGAGTTTTGAGTTCTTTCTTAAAAGTAGAGAGATCAGAGCAGACACGAAGCTGTTGGGGCAGTGAGTTCCAGAGGGTGGAGGCAGCGATGGAGAACACTCTGTCTCCCCTGGTTCAGAGCTTGGTCCTACAGGGGAGAGACAGAAGGCTGGCATCGGAGGAGCGGAGGGAACGAGAAGGAGTGAAGTGATGGAGTAGGTGGGTCAAGTATGGAGAGGCCAGATCATGGAGGGGCCAGATCATGGAGGGGCCAGATCATGGAGAGGCCAGATCATGGAGAGGCCAGATCATGGAGGGGCCAGATCATGGAGGGGCCAGATTATGGAGGGGCCAGATCATGGAGGGCTTTTAATGTGATGAAAAGGATCTTGAAATGGATGCGCTGTGTGACGGAGAGCCAATGGAGGTTCTGCAGGACAGGAGCGATATGTTCATGGGAGCAGGTGTGGGTGAGAAGGTGGGCTGCAGAGTTTTGAATATATTGCAGTTGGACTTGGTAACTTGTGTGTTTTAACCTTTTTTTAATTACTGTAGTTATAACTAAGGAAAAAGATTTGCTTTGCACTATAATATGAAAAACTGCAAACACTCCCCAACTTATCCTCTGTCCATTAATACATGCTTTTTGTTTCTATGGCTGATTTATTCAGGCATGTTGGTTCGAGCAGTCTTCTTCTTCATCGTCTTCTGCAGTGGCTCTTAGAGGAACCACTAGTCTGTGAAGCGAGAATGGACGTCAGCAATAGCACGGTGCCGGGTCTGTCAAAGGTACTGTGTGAATCTGGGACGGTGACGCTGAGGCGGATGGTGGAGACGGCCGGACCAGACTTCTCCAGCATCCGGGAGGTGGTTTTGTTGCTTGAGTGGTGCAGCACTTCCTGGACGTGGACAAGGAGAGGACGACAGCTGGAGAGAAGTGTCTCCTACAGCTGTGGTCCCCAGGGACTCTCCCGCCTGACCTAAAGGACCCTTTCCCGGACATTAACCTGGCTCCTAACATTGCAAAAGTCAGTGGTCCTCTGCTACGCAACATAGACCCAAAGATAGTCTTGTGCAGAATGGGTCCAAAAGTACTTTATAAGACTTATGTTAAGATCCTGAACAAGAGAACTCTGCACACAACAGAGCTGTCAGCGTGTGGGACAACAAGCTCGGAGGTGAGAAGCCCCAGTGGAGGACTCTACAAACCTCCGACAAAAAACACAGACTGGCGATCTTCAATGGAGGATCCTTCACGGCGCCATTGCAACAAACTCTTTTTTTGTCCGTCATCAATCCTGATGTTTTAAATGAGTGTCCTTTTCGCAGTTTGTCTGAGAGTGTTTTTCATGTTTTTACAGATTGTGTACGGCTGGCGGCGCTGTTTAATCTAATGACGAGGATCTTTAGCCTTTTTGACACAGTTTTCACCAGATCTGTTTTTATAATGGAGTACATTATAGTTTAAATCTCAGACTTTAAACATTTTAGTGGTCGAAGCAAAAATGACTGTTTACTTGTCTCGCAGGGACAGACTGCAGGCTGGACCTCAACTTGATGCCGTGGCTCTGTGGAAGTGCAACGTCCAGGCCAGACTGGAGTTTTGCTTCCACAGAGACACTGGACACTTGGAGAACTTTGTGAAACTGTGGGGATTTAAGAAGGTTTTATGCACCATTTCTGGTCAGGGAGAACTACAATACAACAAGCTCCTCATGTAAATATTTTATTTTAAGCTTGTCCTGATCAACGTTTTTAACACTGTTGTGTTAACTTATTGTGTAAATAAAGTTTTGTTAAAAATCTAAAAATCTTCTTCCTCTTCATCATCCTCTTCCTATTCTTCATCCTCTTCTTCGTCGTCTTCTTCCTCTTCCTCATCGTCGTCTTCTTCCTCATCATCCTCGTCTTCTTCTTCCTCGTCATTGTCATCATCATCCTTGTTCTCCTTCTTCTCCTCCTCTCTTCAGAGGTCACCACAGTGAGTCATCCTCCTGCATCTCACTCTGTCCTCACTCCATCCCTCTTCTCAATTAAAATCTAATCCTCATCCTCCCATCATCTAACTGGAGAAAACTATCCAGTTAGGAAGAATATTTCTACCTTTTTGTTTCTGTTTTTGTATAGAGGTAAGAGAGTTGTTTCTAGTAAATAATTACAGGTCTACTTACATTTTTGGAGGCAAGGGGAAAGTGGAGGGGGCATTGTTTTAAACACTTTTAGCAGCACAAGTGTAAGTACTTACTGTATGTGCCAGGAAACATTTAAGGTTCATTGTTTTAAACCCAATCACTTGATGCCTGGAGCTACCAGGGTGTACGACTTCACTTCCTGGTGTTTTGTGGAAGGTCAAACTTGAAAGAATTCAATTATGAAATCTGATTCAGACAGAAAATCATGGTTAAAATGTAAACTGGGAGTTTCAGACTTGCATTATGAGGAGCTTAATTCTGTTTTTACAGCAGATCACCTGAAGCTCGTCCACCAGCAAAGATCTAACGATGCAGATGTCTGTTGTATCATAGCAGCAGAGGAACATCTGCTTGTAACATGAATGTTCATGCAAATGCAAACCATAAAAGTCAAATTTAGGTTAAAATAGCTCAACATGAGATACACTTATTCAAACTTTGGGCAGGTACACTATGCAGCTGAATAAATCTTTATAGATTAATCCAACAAAGTTAAATCAGGTCCTCTGGATGGTTAATTTGCGTTGAAACATTTTGTCTTTCTTCCAAAAGACTTCTTCAGTCCGAGGAGCCACAACAAACAGTCTCATTAGCAGCACACACATAGTGGGCCAACCAGTTTGATGGTGATAAGATGGTTTCTGGAGTCCGCCCTCTCCCGTCGACTCCTCTGAGGCAGCCATGGCCAAAGTGGTTCAAAACATCAAGTTCATGCTCAATATTCCAGGTAAAAAAGTATTTTGGATGAAAGAAAAAACTTTTCAACACAAAGAAACCATCCAGAGGACCTGACTTGGTTGGATTTTTTTAACCTGGAATATTGTGCATGAACTTTGACCTTTATAGATTAAATGGATTATAACAGTTTGGAAGTAATGTCAAGTAAACAGACCAGAATATCTTTAAAAAATAATTTTAAAAAAAGCACTTTTGAAGTAACTTTAGATGCAATGTTAAAAGAATTAAGTGTAAAAATGAGGAAAAATTCACTCATTTAAAAATGAGCAGTAAACAAGCAACTGCAGTAAAAATAAAAGGACTTGCACAATAACTATATTTATTTCCGTTACTCAATACATAGAAAAAGTACTTCCTGTATGTGTAACTAGACTCCTTTTATGGCCATCAAAAAGACAAAAGGATGTTCCAGCTCTTACCTTAGACAGATCTCTGAAGTTGCTGGGCAGAGTGAGGTCAAGTTCTGCCGAGTCATAGTTGGTGATGACCCAGGGAAAGACTGGGTACTGATTTAAATCGTTGAAGGTACGACCTGAACCAAAGACAGAAAGCAAAAACAAATAGAGAAAAGACAAGAGACAAATAGTTGAATGATAAGGATGAGGATAATCACTGACAGTCACCACTGTGAACATTTTCTCCATCTGTAGTTGGTTTTCACAACCTGTAATATTAAAACAAGTGTTGGCCGTTGTTCTCACCAGAAATGGTGTTAAGAAACATCAGATACTCAAAGTTGGATATCTCTCGACGCTGCCAGCGCTGAGTCATGTTGGAAGCCTTGAAGAGCTGTTTGGGTGTGGCCAGAGAAATACGTCTACAAGGAAAAAATGAAAATTTAAAAAAAATGTTCAAATGTTGGCACAAAGAAGAACAACAAACTGAAGAGTCCTGTTAAAAAGTCGTTGAATTATAAAAACTACTGAGCCTAATCCAACATTTTTCAGTCAGGTCATCTGGACATTTTCTTTTTTTTGTGCTGAAACGTTTCACCTTCGATCCGGAAGGCTTCATTAGAAAGGCCGGCAGTGGAGGAGGGGGCGTACCAAAGAAACCATCAAAACTGGTTTGTTCTACTTTGGAGTAAGCTGTTTGGGGAAGAATCAGTTTTGTGTTGTGTGTTTTCTTGACTGATGAAGCCTTCCGGATTGAAGGCGAAACATTTCAGCACAAAAAAAGAAACTGTCCAGATGACCTGACTGAAAAATGTTGGATTGTATACCTGGATTATTGAGCATGGACTTTGTTACTGAGCCTAATAATTTTGCAAATCAAGACAAAAAAGCAGAATTAATTGTGATGCACACACATGTCCCGAGGGCATGAAAAACAAATGACCCTAAAATCCAATTAAACCAAAAGACAGTTGTGGAATTAATCAAAGTCCAGGTAGGAGATTAAAGCCATTAAGCTTCTCAAGATACAAACTAAAAATCATTTTCTCCTAATAAAAATGTACTGCAGGATTCCTATAGATCTATTGGGTAATACTGCAAATTAAAATTTTAAACAGGTTTCTGTAGTTCTTAACAACTTTAAATCAAATAATGCACGTTATTAAACCTATCATCTAAATAATTTAACAGGACTAAAGACGGTCATCAAACTGACTGTGGTTTGAAAGCACAGATACTGTAACAAACATCAAATTAGAAAAACAAGTTGCAGACAATAAATTAATTTCAACATCAACACTGACACAAACCATTCTTTCTAACAATCATTGACTGCAGTATGGAAAGGCAATTCATTCAAAATTAAATAAATAAATAAATAAATAGTGTTATTTAAAAAGTATTAATCAATATTCCATTAAATAAATAAATGTTCCCATGAAATAACACATTTAAATAGAAAAAAAAAAAGTCCATGCTCAATAATCGAGGTATACAATCCAACATTTTTCAGTCAGGTCATCTGGACAGTTTCAGTTTTTGCTGAAACGTTTCACCTTCCATCCGGAACGCTTCATCAGTCAAGGAAGCACACAACAAAACTGATTCTTCCCCCAACAGCTTACTCCAAAGTGGAACAAACCAGTTATGTTG